ACACACACACACACACACACACACACACACACACACACACACACACACAACCTTAGAAGGCTCCATGTCCTGGGAGCTGCCTTGTAGACTCAATAGAAGATGGAGGTCATATTGTTGGTGCTGCGTCTCATGGGGCCATGTCTTGGACAGATCCCCAGGCAGCACGTGGTTGATGATGATCTGGAAGGAGGAACGGAACACGATGAGATGCAGGAGAACAGCTAGCTCAGTGTATCGCTCTTAGCAGAGAGATGAGACAGTCATCCGGAAGTGGAGTTGACTTGTCCAAGTCCCACAGCTGCCTGATGCTAGCAGCTGAAGCAGGATCCACTCTGCTGTCTCCCCTTTTCTCTAGACCTTTCCATTCAGTCCAGCTTAATTCTACAAGGTTTTTATAAAGCCGTGCCTTAGGTCACTGGATACCTAGCAAGTGCCTCTTGGGCCGGGAGTGGCCAAGGGGGATGTGTTAGAGTCCTCTATGCTTTCCCTTGGGATTCCCTTGATAGGAGAATCCAAGATAAGCCTCCCTGGGGTCATTTCTGCTCTTCCGTGTGCAAATCTTTGCCATGGCGACTATTAACATAAAACGAATGGATTGACTTCTGACTATAGGAAATAAATCTCCCCAACTTTTGACAGCAGACTTAGAAAAAAAGAAAAGATTAATTGGTTTTATTTAGTGGCTTATTGTTTATTGTGATAGCTATTAAAAATAGGTAACCAGAGGCTAATCACTGTTAATGGTCCCTTCACTATTAGAAAAATCAATTGTCAGGGGATATAGCATATATTAATAAATTATTTTGTTTATAATCTTCCATAACTTTTTAAAAAGTGGACTCCTGAGAGAATTCTTTTCTTGAGGCACACTCTAAGGTCAGTGGTTACTACAAAGGCCAGATCTGGCAGGGGGACCTTTCCGTGTATATGAAATTTTAATGGCGTTCACAGCATTATTTAATAACACACACGTGCGATTATCAAGATTGATAAACTCCTTACCAAGGACGCTTCTATGTATTTTTTGAAACTTGTTTGAGAGCAGTTAAATAGATTTCTAAAGTAAGTAATTAAAATTGTATAGTATTGAGTTATTGACCAATCCTGGACTATTAATCAAGCTAAAAAATTCTACAATCAGTGCTCAGTGCGCTGAAGCCTGGTAAAATAATAGTGTTGGTGTTCAGTGAGGCAAGTAGCCACAATTAAGCACTTCACTTGACAAATGAGCGGGTCCACTTTATTTTGCACTTAATTGAATCGTTGTCCGGGCTCGCTCACCATTGTCTCCTGGCCCTTCGTTTTGGTTCCTGGTCTTTGGAGCTTACGCATTTGCGGAAGGTAGAGCAATTAAGTCAGCATCTGCCACTGGCTTTCTCAAACTCAGCCAGGAAATATCTGGGCCACCAACCAAGGCTTCGCCAGTGCCTTTCACATCCCTCGTGACCGATTCTTAATTTTCTTCACCAGAATTTTAATAAACAAATGAGAGCACTATCCAAGAATGATGTGAGGTAGCTTCTAAAGGGGCAAACTCCCCCAGGTTTTCCCATCCCTCCCCAGATTCTGCTTCAGTCAGCAGCAGAACTTACGCACAGAAGACAGACTTTTAATCTGTTTTATGAAAACCCCAAATTGATGTGCTTCTCCTGAGCTGGAAAGAATGCTCTCTGATAATCTTGCTAATTATCAGGTACTTGTCACCACTTCCTTCCACTTCCCTCACATCACCGTCCTCCCTCCTGCAAACACAGCGACACCCCATCATTTCTGTGCCACTCTACGTCATTGCTTGCCACCGAATTAAACTGGGGAGTTGAAGTTTAAAGAGAAGACCCAGTGGATAAATATTAGTGTGTGCGCATTTGTGTGAAAATTAGGCACAAGGCAGGATTGCTTTTATAAAGAGACAGATCTGGTTACACACCTGGGTTCATCCGTGAACTCTCCAATGACCCCGAGTTGAGGTTGTATTTGCAGACCCCAAGGCAGTTGTGTATTTATTAAAACACGCAGGCAGCTTGCTGCTTTCTCTGCATGTTTACGCCAGGATCAAGTCCCCACACCCTACAGTAACCTTGGCCTCAAGAACTTAATTCCTGAGAGGACAGTGTATCCTGCATTTTCTGAACTGACAGAGACAGTAACAGAGGCTCTCCCTGCCACAGAGGATTAGTGTGAAGATGAAAGTAGGTAATTGATGTAGCACTTTGAAGAGTTTCAAGTGCCACAGAATTAGGAGCAACAATTACGTATCTTCTCTTCTAATGTTCTGCTTAATCGAGTCCCAATGCTCCCAAAAGTGCGCTAATACTTGCCCCGGGTGGGGATAAAAACAAGTACAGGTTCTTGAAATGATATGGTTAATCCTGGAAAGGAATACTTGTTTGGGAATTGAAGTGCTTCAGAAGCTCTGTGAATTTTGTTCCCGTGGCCCCATGTGCGGGTCTCAGGGGACCCTGCAGCCAGAGCCCAAGGGTGCTGTTTGGAAAACTGAGAAAATGTCACCAGAAAGCTCTGGCCCTTGACTCATGATGCTGATTTGCCCTGAATGACACAGACGGTAATGACCAGACAGTCTCTTTATTTATTTCAGACCTTATCAGTGCGGTCACTGCTCCCAGTCCTTTTCACAACCGTCCGAGCTGAGGAACCACGTGGTCACCCACTCCAGTGACCGGCCTTTCAAGTGTGGCTACTGTGGTCGTGCCTTCGCCGGGGCAACCACCCTCAACAACCACATCCGAACTCACACTGGAGAAAAGCCCTTCAAGTAAGTAGAGCCTACCCGCAGAACCTCCTTTCCTCTCAAGCTGTGCGACCATGGACACAAGACGATCTTTCTGGGTCTCTTTTCTCCTCAGAAAAATAAGAAAGTAGGAATAAGTCATTTTAAGATTCTTTCTAGTTCCCAAGGATCTATGTTTCTAGAATTTAAGCTAGGAGCCCCCACAAGGGGCCACCTTTGGGCCCCCAGCAAGCCCATGACCATCAAGTGAGGTGATCCCGGTTTAGGACATCTAAAGAGTCATCCCTTGGGAAACTTGAATGTTTCAGGATTCTGGTGGATTCTGTCCTCCTCTTTCCTATCTGTTCAAGTGGTTTAAATCTGTGATAGTAGCCAACTTGTAGCTTTCCGAGTGTGCTCTTCAGATCTCAGAATTACTGTGTTGGTGACACAAAACAGAATGAAACACAACCACACACGGGGCACATCCAAATTCTTGAGGATTCAGAGAATGTGGAAAAAGGTAGGACTAAACTCCAAGGACTTTGCAAGGTAAGAGCTCCCCGGAGAGAGATTGTTCTAGATACAGTTCAATCATAAAAATAGCAGACGTCTGAATCATGCAAGATGGCCTGTTCTTTCACTCATTCATCTGTTTTTGTATGTGCTGTTCATTCAGCAAATATTTATTGAGCGTCTACTTTTGTGCTGGGTACCCAGCTAGGTGTAAAAGATATAAAGGTGAATGAGATTCACTCCCCCAGTCTTTGAAGACCACATCGTTTATGGGGAAGCCCAATTAATAAGCAAGTATTACAACATGGGATGAAAAGTATGAAAGTGAAGAACAGGAAGCTATATTCATACAGTGCTGCAGGGTAGCCCAGAAATAAAGTTCTCAGTGCTGTCTGGTGGACATGATGTTTAAGATGGGTTTTGAAGGATGAGTAGGAGTTTTCCAGGCATACAAAGGAGAGAGGCATTTCTGGCAGTCCACATAACATGTGGAAAGGCTTGGGAGTGAGAACCAATACATTTGACTTGGTCGTTTGTGTCAAAGCATCTTCTGGTGTCTGTGTGATCAACTCTTTTCTCTTTACCCCTCCACATATCTCTTTATTCATTTGCCATCTTGGTTTTCCCTGGCTGGGAAGGAAAATTTGAAGGACAGAGATGTAGACTATTTACTTTCTGTAAGACAAGATCAAGCAAGAAGAGAAATAATTCAGGCAGTGGGAGACAAATCCACTTGCTCCGTCTCAGCCAACGAGTCTTTGTAGAGTCTAATAGCCCATGATCTCCCTTTTGGATTTATTGGCATGGTCTGTTGTTGTCCTGGTGTTTGGCCTGAGGCTCAGCTTGTCTCAGGGTAGCAGAGTCTGCTGGCTTGGGTCTTGCCTGCCTCAGTGTCTGCCACCAGAGGGAGGAACTCATAAAAGTTGTCATCTTCACTTATCTCCCCACAATTTAGTTACCTTTATTCATTATCCTTAACTAGTTTCATCATGGTTTAATTTATGATATTGATAATCAAATGAGTTTTAATTTTTATCTGTGTACATGGGTGCAGGTTGTGCACTGCACAAAGGCCTTTGACTAAGGGGACAGGAAAAAGTCTAAAATCAAACCTGCACTATACCAGCCAGGTTGGACCTTCTGGGGGCTCTGAGAGCCCAAAAGATTGCTTTTTTGCAATCTACCCTAGGGGCCAGTGGTTAGCGCAGGTGCTAGAGTTCCTGTCACAGGTGTTTTCATCCCTCACAGTGGACTTTGTCATCGCCCTCAGGCCTGACCCTCAGGGGCTCCACAGATTCTGGCTTCATGACTGCTCTGGATGGGGAAAAGGGCAGTCACCCAAGTGCCAGGCCTTGGAGCAGGAAAGCTTCTCAAAAGCAAAGGTGATGGAGGATTGACGATCCTTCTGGCCCCTTACATTAGAGAGGGCAACCCGACGGAGAGAGTGCCAGGAATCAGATTGATTTTTATCTTGTTGCTCTGTAAATAGATTTTAGTAATTAATTGAAGAGGTTTCAGGGTCAAAATGGGAAATAGATTTCTATTAATGTTAAGGTGTTACTTATGTGTAACCTTGTTGACTCCACTCAATTTTTTTCCTCTAACATCCTGTTTTTGTCATGTTTCCAATAGATCCAATAGATTTAACTTTAATTCATCAGATTAATATTTGAGGGGCTTTAATAATTGCATCTTTTTCCTTTCTTAAAGTATGTTTTTTGTGACCATCACCTAATTTCACCGGGAGAACAAATTAAGAATACCATATGGTTTGGTTGAATTAGATTCTAGGTACATGCTCTAGTTACTTCTGCTTCTACTCATATTCAGGTGGCTACATGCTGTATGTAGGGTGGGGTGGGTTTTATATCTTTTGGTTCATCAAATATATATTCCCAGGGGAGACCCAAGTGTATGGTCATGTAAATAGTGCAAGTTTTAAACATCTTCTAGGAAATGGAAAGCTTAGTCCTTCAGTATATACAATCAGACCATCCAGGATTGAACTATCCCAAGGGAGTTTTGGGAAGCTTCTCACCATAGCTCATGGATATCCATCCCACGGACATTTGTAAATATTATGAATATTCCCTTTTACAAGCTCATAAAAGAAACATTCAAAAAAACTTTTGTTGCCGATTAGTCAATAAAATGGATTTTGCCACAACAGTTAATTTTACTATTTCAACTAATGGGTATTGGCTTAAACAATGTTACAAAGGAGGGGAAGGACCTCATAAAGATGTAGACCCCTAAAGTGTATGCCTCAGGCAGCTTCCACGGAGATGCCCCAAATGGCTCAGCCCCCAGATTGTCCCACCCACCAGGGCCCCGGAGGCTTTCACAGAATTCGCAGGAGACTGCCACGACAAGGGAGGGTCTTTTCCAACATCTGAAATCTTCTGCTGGGATGTGGGTGTCAGCAGATCAAGATTATTGCAATCCAAAGAAGGCTGGAGAAGATCTGGCATTAAGAGATCAGAGTCTCGGTCCAGGCTTTGCCTCATGATCTGATTGGCTGAGATCCCACCGGAATCCACTCCACCCCCAAAGCAGCAGGTTGGTCACGGGCCTGTTGGCAGGCGACTTGACTGGGTGGGACGGGAAGTCATTGACAGCAAAGGAACAAAAGGAGACATCATTTCATTTAACAGTAATTCCTAGCTCTTTACTGAAATGAGGAAAGAAGGAAGGATATTAATTGGCATCTCCAACTTACTCTTTCTAGTGAGGACTCCTTTCTCCTTCCCTGTTCCTAAATATAACCTCTGAAGATTTCAGACAGGGGCTGCTCTCTGCTCTGCTCTGTCTGGATCCTCGTAAATTCCTTGGTGCTCAGCTTTGGAGCATGGGAAGACCAGGACTTCCCATATGAAAGGCTCTTCTCTGCATGTTTGTAAAAAGCAGGGGAAAATACTCATCAGTACATCTTTGCCTAAAGTAAAGAGTGGCTCATTATAAAATTAAAAAAAAAATCCAAGGATATTCCAAAGAGCATCTGATATTTTAACAAGACTTAGGCAACAGAGCGAATGAAAAGAGCACATCAGTAAATCGGCATTGAGCACTTTGTATGCCCAAGCCCTGCGCAGGCTGGTTCAGTCCAAGACATATTTGGTGACAGGCCGCAGAGGCACAAAGGAAAGCTTCTTGAAGGTTTTCTTTGTAAGGGAACTTGATGCCATTTTGGCGTCTGTCAATTTCCGCTGGCAATTGTTAGGCTCCCGGTACCAGTAATCCAGCCAACCATCACATAAAGCAAAGAATGACTTCAAATCTAAAAGGAAACCAAATCTAACTAAGATACCCAAACTTGTAGAAAGTTGGGGGCTTTCTTTGTCCCAAAGTATTCAGATCCCTTTCCACTTCAGGGTCCCTGCGATAGCCCCTTTAAGGCTGTGACATCAGCACAGAGAGGAAGACCCGTGCGCAGGAGCCTTCCTTTGCTCCCAGCTCATTACCCCCATCTCTCCTTCCTTCTTATTCTGCTATGCCACATGAAGTTCAGGATCAGAGGCACCCAGGCCCCCGTCTGGGTTGGACATCAGGGTTCATTAGATGCCAACTCAGACAAAGTCTAGCTCTGACTTGCCGGCCCCAGGCTTTTGCATGAAGTATGTCTTTCTGAGGAGTTTTATTCAGCTATAAAAAGACCTCAGGAAAAGAACTTTTTTAAAATAAAAGGTAATGAATGTAAAATGGAGGCTCTTCCTTTATTTTAAAATAATATTTTTTTTCAGGGCACCTGGGTGGCTCAGTGGGTTAAAGCCTCTGCCTTCTGCTCGGGTCATGATCTCAGGGTCCTGGGATCAAGCCCCGCATCGGGCTCTCTGCTCAGTGGGGAGCCTGCTTCCCCCTCTCTCTCTCTGCCTGCCTCTTTGCCTGGTTGTGGTTTCTCTCTGTGTGTCAAATGAATAAATAAAATCTTAAAAAAGAAAAAAAGAATATTTTTTCTATCTATTTCTCTTCACTTCCATAGCGGGTTGGTAAGAAACCAGCCCACACAGGTACACACATCTGCATGTGTTTTCATTCGCACTTGGAGGAGGTAACCCTGGAGGTGATTTTTCAGTGAGCATCTCGGGAACCCGACAGCGTGGACTTTGTAGATTTCCGGTTCCGGGGGTGTAACTATCTGTGTGGCCACTTAGGCAAACTGCTAGAGAAAAGCCTAACTCGCCTCGGAAAGTCTCTGTCTAATCTGGGTATTTAATTATCACATAGAGACGTACACTTGGCCTTATAGGAAACACGGAACTTCCTATGTCCGATTCTTTTTTTCAAATACCCAGGATGAGAAGTGCAGAAACACAACCCCAGGTCAATGGTCTTTCCTTGTAAGTGCTCCAGCAATTCTCTTTGAAGTGGATTCTAAAGCTTCAGAATTTTTTTTTTTTTACAAAGTAATATAATAATTTGAAAGTTTGCCAGCAGTGAAAGGTAGTATATTTGGACACACTGATCCAGTAACTAATCAGTTTTCTAATAAACAATCAGCAATTCGCTAACATGTCATCAGCACCTCGGGAGGCTCTGGAGAGAGGATGAGCTGCCCGTGGACGTTAATGAATACACCAGAAATCATTAGCTGATCAATACTTCTGAGTTATTTTCATTGAGCTGATAGGTCTGATACATTAAAGCTGACATTATACATTTGTCAAGATCACAGTGCAGTTTTTAACAGTGGAACAGGCTGCTAAAAATATTCCCGGGAAGACAATCAAAGAAACACAACTCCTTCACCCTGACCCATGCAGCTGGCACGGGAGCCCTGGAAAATCCCAGTGTGATGGTCAAGCCCCCAGCCTCCCAACATTAAAAAATAGACAAGAACACCCCAAAGTGGATGGACGTGTTCTTTTTTTTTTTCCTTTTAGGTAAAGGCACTTTGTAGGGTGGACTAAAAAAGTCGGGGAGGGAAGAGAGGACTATTCCCCAGATAACAGGGCACGTGGCACATGATGGAGCAGTGGAGGCTAGAGGTCTAGAGAGCACTGCCCCAACCCTGTAGTGCAGGGACCTGAGCCTGAAGGTTGTGTTATTTTCAAGAGGGACAAGTATCTGCAGGGCTCCTGAATATCCTTTTCTTCAAAGGATTGAGGAGAAGACGTTAAGGGGATGATGTGGTGGCCACTGAACCCTCCCCCTCCCCCCCCGCCGTGGGTCTCGGCCATGCTCCAGGCAGCCCAGATGTGCAGGGCGGTGACAGGAAGGCACAGTTTGTGCCAGCTTGCTGCACGAGTTTGCATGTGTGCATAACCAGAGACAACCAGCCAGGAGTCATAGCCACCACGGGAAAGCTGGAAGCCACCATTGGACGTGTGCGCACATGCACATGCGTTAGTTTCTTTGTGGCTTGAGCAGCCATCGAGCTAGTGAGTGTGTTGCATGGGAGATGGGTCGAGCTCAGCGTCTCTAGGTTACAATTTTTGTTGTTGCTGTTTAAGTTGAAGACAGGAGCTTTTCCAGAAGTAGGATGCCAGTTTTCTCCTCATCAGACACACCGACCCCTAATTATGGCTTCCAGGGTCATTCTTGTCTGTACCTTCTCAGGAGGTGGATTTCTTGAGCCAAGTGAGCACCGGCTGATGGTGAATTCATCTGTCTCCCACCCCACGCTGCAGACAACTCTTTTAGCCACCCCCCCCCAGTTGTGGCTGCTTGGTGATACTTGTGCACCAAATAAGCCACCCACCCCCACTGCCCATAGTCACGCAGACCGACGTCGCGCTCCCTCCGCCGTCCACATTCGGAGGGATGGCCCTTGGGCCGCCGTGCCCAAGTGGAGGACAATTCCTCGATTTTAAATTAGCAGCGGGTGAAATTCTATTTGTCGTCAATTTCTCTTTGGGGTTACAGAGCAGAAAACTGCAGACAAGCTGCGGCTTTGATGGCTCACTCCTAAAAATCTCTTTTTGTTCTTTATCTATTTGAACTGACAGTGATCAGAGCTGCAGCAGGACAGCCTCTCTGGAGAAATCACCTTCCCCCTGCCTATTGACAGATCCCTCTGTTCCGCACCAGACGGGCTTTGTCCCGTCCCGGCCCTCCAGGCCTGGGAAGGAGCCACCAATTAAACCTCTCGAGCTGGTAAAATCGGAAGCCACTTTGGAGTGTCGGTTCTCATTAGGCAGGATGAGAGGAAGCCCATCACCCTGCAGGCCCCGCTCCCCGGTCTCAATTTTCTCTCTTGCCTCCACTAGGTGCGAGAGGTGTGAAAGGAGCTTCACGCAGGCCACGCAGCTGAGCCGGCACCAGCGGATGCCCAATGAGTGCAAGCCAATAACCGAGAGCCCAGAATCAATTGAAGTGGATTAACTGATTGACTGGTTGGAATTAAACTGCAAGGGAAGTCATGATTAAATGTCATGGACACTTAAGCAAAACCAAAGATTTCCTCTGAGCAACTTTCAATCAGTCCCAGAAAACCAAAAGCAGTAATAAAATAAGTAAGATGTTAAGAGATATTGATCCTGGCGTGGAAGTCCGACCAGGACAGAGATTATTTATTTATGATTAGGGATGAGACTCGTTTCAGTGGACGACTGACCTGGGACAACTCCCGTGTCCGGTCCCACCGTGTATTTGCTTTGTTTCTAAAAAGCTTTTTTAAACTGTTATTTAATACCAAAGGGAGGAATCCTGTGGGTTCTTCTGCCCACACTTGTGACTGGGAACGCACAGGGACTTCTTTCTCATTGCACCTTTTTTTAGTAGCATGATTCAAGGGGACCCATTGTACGGCAGCCCCCCCAACCCCCCCTTCCTGCCGCTTGGGTTCAAGGTGGGGAGGGGGCCGATGCGGCTGCCCCGCCGGGGCCGTGGAACCAGACGCCAGAGCCTCCACTAGGTCAATGCCACCGTGGGCCCCGAGGCTGGTGCGTTTCTGTGTTTTCCTACGCACTTTTTACGCCACTCCTTCCCTCCACCAGCCTGGCCTTGATGCAGATGAGCCTGGAAGAGGCAGAAGATGGTTCGGTTTCAGAATTCAAGGAGAAGTGGGGACCTGCCTTTGGCCTGTCAGGATCTCAAAAACATTGAAAATGTACAGAGCTTCATAATACAGTATATTGTTCCGAAGCAGCTAGTTGAGAAGAGTTTGTTTTCAGTACCGTTTTAGCTTAAAAAAACAAAACACAAAAAATAAAGTTCTTCGGTCTGAAGCTGAAATAGAAGGTATGAGGCTTCAAGGAATTTTTTCGTTGTGTCTGTGAAGGTGTTGAATATGTGAGCAGGACGGGTGCCCAACCCCATTGCCAGTGCCCTGTGGAGGCCCTTTTCTCTTCCTTCCTCCCGTAGGTGAAGCCTGGGAGACCCCTTTGCTCCCTCTGCAGTGTCAGGGGAATGTTCCTGCAAAAATAAGGGACAGGAGCCCAGTCCAGGAAACAGTGAGAGGAGCCATCCCGGAGAGGGTTGTGATGAGAACAGACCACGTGGGAACCGCTCATTTTATCCATTGGAATTACCTTGTCCTCTCCTCTGGCCCTTGACAAGGCTCTTCCTTCATCACTAATCTGTTGAAAGAGAAGGGATGGTGTCCATAATTTCACTGTTTGGTTGAGTACAAGGAAAGCGAGTGAACTTCAGCTGGTCTTTGGGCGGCCTGACGGCCGTGCCCAGTCCCTCCAAGGCACATCCGACAGAATGATCTGTTACCCGGGAAGAACTGGCTGCTCCTGCCAGCATCATGGCAGGGACCGCATGCACCTTGTAGATGCCCTGATCACCCAACAGCGGGACACAGTCTTTTAAGAAACTCCCTTAACTTTTAGACCTCCCAGGGTCTTCCCGTAACAAATATATAAGACCCAGAACTCGCTTCTGGAAGGCAAGGGTACTTCTTGGTTCACTCTACTTGGTCTTCATGGATTTGGCTCTCAGAACATCTTCCTTCCCTTCTAAGTTTGCTTCCCCATCCCTTAGCACCCAACTGTCCCATTGAAAGTGGAGGAACACGGGGCCTCGTTAATTACATTTGTAATTTATTTATATATATGTTGTCAAAAAACAAAACCGAATCGAGGCAATTTGAAGAACAGATTGGCTTTATTAAAAGATTCCTGAATTGGGCCATGTCCTAGCTTGCCAGTTCCCAGGAGTTGGGAGTAACTGAGTAGGAGGTTTTTGTAGGAAGGAGGGTAGAGCAAGGAAGGTACCAGCAAGAGAAAAGGAAGGATTCTTTCAGGCCAGGACATCATCTTTTGGGGGAGAAAGGGGCCTGCAGGATTTTTCTCATGCAGGTTACCTCACTAGTGCAAGTCAGACATTCCAGATTGACTCTTAAAGGGTCATGTTTGTGGGACAGGTTGAAACTGTAATTAAGTCTTGGTGGGCTCTTGTAGGGGCCAGATGGCTCCATTTGGGGCTTGTTATTTCTCTTTTTCACAATATATTTATATCTCCAAATAATCTCCAATGTTGTGGGCTCCAAAGAGGGATTGGAACAATCCTGACCCCCATTGTCCAAGATGACCTAGAACATTCCCTCCCTGCATTCTTTTTGGCTCTTTGTCATGGAACTCCTAGCATTCTGTGCTCCTATATAACCGATGCTGATAGAAAGTGTTCCGTCTGGTAGATTAGGATGTCTTCTGTTTTATAGCTCCTTGTCTGAAATGATGGAGACATTTGCCGAAAATGTGTGCCATTGGGAAGGGTGGAAAAAAACATGGAGCCATACGAATCCAAAACCTGTAAGAAAGTGTCAGATTGGCTGTATAGACGAGTAAGCTATTCTGTTGATTAAGGCAGAAGCATTTGGTTGTACATTTTGAACGTGACAATAAGGGACTCACCTGTACGTCCCTAACAGTTTCTTCCAGTGAGAAAAATCAGTTCCGCCATTTGCCATATTTCACTCTTTGAGACAAATGCACTCTTCTCCTTTCCCATGGCCTCCACGTACAGAAATTAGAAGATTTCACTCCTCCTTTGGTGTCTGCCATGGGAACTTTCCGTAACAGTAATCTCTGTCACTCTTTATGGTCTTACCAGCTGATCCCAAGGTCCCACTTAGTATGGCGGTAGCCTTTTTAAACCAGAAGGTCCTTCTAGCTTTCTCCCTCCATTTAAGCTTATCACCCCCCACCTTTCTTAGTAAGGCAGACTTTTGGCCTGTATTTCCCACCGAACTTGGCCAGAAATATTTTCTCTTTAACAAATAGAAAATCGGGGACACTCCTAATGAGTTGACTTAGAGTCCTGAAGTAGTCCTGAAGTAGGTCCTGACGTCATTTGGGTCCCAGAGGCTTTTAAGTGAAGTATGTACTGAATAGGGGTTTCTCCTTAAAATCTCCCAACTGTTGCTTTAGTGTTTTTATTTAAAAATTGGCAGATACTCACACGGGACCTGCAAATGGGTGGCAGAAACTGCAGTCATAAAAATTTGCCCGTTTCCCTTATTAGCAACTTCCTAATTCATTACAGCCTAAAGAGAGTAAAGGCTCTGAATTACTGAGACGGAGGGGAGGCTATCTGCTGAATCGGTATTTGACTCCTGGAGGATTCCCTGTTTGCTCTCTTCTCTCCAGGGTGAATATTTTTCCCCCCAGAATAAGATGTACCGTCCTCACACATGCTCATTTATCTAGCTAAGAGTCTGAGCCAAAGGGTAATGCCAGGTGGGGCTGCAAACATCACATTTCTAGAAATATCTCAGTAACCTCAATTAAGGCCAAATGTTTTCCCCAGGAAATGCGCATGATTTTTTTTTAAAGATAAGCTCTTTGTTTTGATTGTCTTTATCTTTAAAAGTGACTTTTTTTTAAAAGGGGGGATATACTTTTACATAGTTATTGTGTGGATAATTCAAGTTGTAAACCTAAATCTTGCAGAATTTGTATAATTTGATTCAGTTAAATATTTATTGGACATCCATTCAAGTGTAGCCTTTTGGTGGGGGGAAGAAAGATTTCCGGTTAACATAACAGAAAAAGATTGTGTTACCACTTCTCTCCTCCAAGGGCTTTATAGTTTATTGTGTTGTATCTTGGGAAAGCTTGATTCAAATCCAGATATACAAAGATTTACTAACAGTTGCCAGCTCATGAATTCTTTGCATCAGTTGCCTCATTCCTCGTTTCATTCCTTTCCTCAACACATATTTAGTGAACTCTTCTTTGAGATAAAGATCCCACTTTTGGTGTTCGCTTTCAGTGGCATCATGTAAGCGACTGTTGGCGGGAAAATGCAATTCTCCTTGTAAGTGGCTGGCTCGTGGCACGGGGATTATAGTTTTCTACGCTGTTATTTTAGTGAAGTCCCAGAGATCGCTGCATCCGAGAATCAGAGAGCTGTAAACACAGCTAGAGACCAGAAGGTAGCGTATTTCAAGACAAATGAAGATATGCCACTACCTTGTCTTTGGTTGGCCCACTGGACCAGTGGTTCTTAGCATCGATGTCAAGATACCAAGACTAGAGTCAGAGTGTTAGGGATTTGATGACCCTTTTCCACAGTGATAAAGGCTGTGGACAAATAGGGGCGGGGTGGAGTTGCTCAGGGAAAGAACCATGCAGACCTGGTGTGGGTCCAGAGGCCTCATGGGCGACGAGACTTGACCATGCAGCCCCTGTCCCCAGGGTGTGGCTATGGGACTCTCAGAGGTGGGGGCCCCTCTTGTTGTACTCAGGCATTTCAGAGAGCAAGTCAGCCTGGATATTCGCCTCTGGTTTATGGAGAGCAGTTGTTTGGTTAAGTTTGTTCTTGAACCTCACCGTCTAGCTCTCAATGCAGCTTCCTCTTCAATGGCATCATGTTTCAGGGCTCCAGGTCTCTGGTGCATCAATTGCAAAACAAATTGGTAGCTATTGGTTGTAAGAGCTGTACATTTAAGAAGCTACTATTTCATTGGTTTTCATGGTAAAAGTAGCATCATTACTGTATTTGCACTGTTTTAAAAACCCAAACCCAAGTGTCTTCCGAGGTGTTGGAAATGGGAAACCTGGCGCATCTCACAAAAGCAGGGCCTTTCTGGAACAGCACGGGGTCCGTGGGTCACTCTGGGTAGGCCCAGCAGCCTCGGGTCTCAGAGCGAGTCTGTCATTCTCTTACGAAGGCCACTTGCACAGAAGTCAGTCACGTTTTCAGAAATGTTCCTCCTTTCCTTCCTGGATGTGAATTTAATTTTATTTCCCATAACATTTACTGATTCCTAACATCAAATATGGAAAGATCCTAGGATATAAATTTCTTTAAGTGAGAAACGGCACATTCCAGAAATGTCATTCATTTGTCAGGAGCCTTTCAAGGCAAAGAGGTTTGGAGACATTTTATGAAGTGACATGACGTTTGCGTACTTACCCACCCGAGAGTCTGAG